TTAATAAGGAAAAGGCGAAAAAATTCCTTAAATTTTAATGACTTTTATTATGATAGAGAAATATTTTAAAAATAAAATATTATTTAGGAATTTATTTTATAAAAAATTAAAAATACAGTCAGTTAATCAAATAATACTTTAATTTAGAATATAAAAAAATTAAAAAATGCTTAGTCAGTTTAATTATAAAAATAATAATTTTCTGAAATTTCTAAAAAATGATGCTAATTAATAATAAATAAAAAAAAAAAAATGATGAAAATAAAATTGCTTTATCAAATAAAAAAGAAATGTCTTCTTCTTAATAAAAATAAATATATTTTAATAATCATTTTAAAGCTAATTCTGCTGTTAAGTTATAAACAAATAATTTAATAACAAATAGATAATAACCTAGTTCATAAATTACACAAAAAGTAAAAACAGAAAAAGATGAAGCCACAAATGAAACTTATTATACAAATAGTTTTAACAGACTTTTAACTGATTCTAATACTAAATTCAATAAATTAACTGAACAAAATTAAAAAAATAAAAACAATATTAAATTTGGATAATAACTGAACTAAAATTAAATGTATTCATAGAAAAATAATTAATAAAAGTAATTAATATCTAAAGATAAAAAATAAATACATAATAATATTTAATAGCATATTCTAAGCTTAATATCTCCTTCTAAGAAAAGTTAATTATCTCCTTGTAATAATTATTATACTCCTTTATTGCATTTTAATAAAAAGAAATTAAATATTAATAAATTATGATATATTTTATTAATTTAAATATTTTTGTTTTAAAATTTAATTATTTTATTTTTTATATTTTTATCATATAAATTTAAAATATAATTTATTTTTTATATAAAATAAATAAAAAATATAATTTATTTAATTTTCATCATAATAATATAAATAAAATAATTTAATTTTCTATATAAAATGTATAAAATTAATATATATTATTTATATATCTTTTGAATTAAATATAGTTATTTATATATATACTATTTACTATGATATACTAACCATCTTATCTATTAAACACAAATTAACTGTGAAATTAAAGTAATTTCGAAACATTAATTAAGCTACGTTATACTTACTAGTCCTTTGTTTTTTATCAATTCGTTATATTTTAATTTTCTTTACTTCATTTCTATGTTTTAAAATATTCGATTATAAAGTTTCACTAATAAATTCAAATTTGTATTTATCATCACATATCTTTCTTATTTTATAATCTGGTTCAAGATAAATATTGAGAGTAGCTTTAACGAAGGCAATGTATTAACATGGAGTTATAAAAGTAAAATCTCAACATCAGAATAACCCAATCCTTATCTAATAATCCACCAAGGAGTATCTTTTTTATAGTTATAAACACAAAAATCAAATATTTTTATTAAGTGTTGCCCTTAAACAAGATTCTGGTTCTGAATATTCTCTGATTTAAATCTTAAAATAGTAGTTTTAAAATAAAAAGTACTACAATTGGCATCCTTGCAAATATTTCCTTCAAAATCTAAATTGAAAAAAAAATATATATTTATCACAACAATCATTAATCTTAAAATCTCTGTGTGTAGTTTAATCTAAAACCTATGATTTCTTATTACTTTTTTAGAATTAATGGTGAATTAAATTGATAAATACATTATTTCAAAATAGTTCTTTTATAATCACTTTATTAAATAATTAATACTTCTCATGAATATATTATATATATATATATATATATATCAATTAAAGGAATTTTAACTCTTATTTAATTTTTTTTCTTATATAGGTTGGATTTATAGTTACATAATTACATGAATCTTTAGCAATTTAAACACCTGCTTATAAAAATTACTTACAGTTTTCATCTAATTCTATGAGAGCTAATCTTTTCAATCAAAGATTAATATATCTAAAATAAAATTTTATCCAAATATATTAGTAAGTAAAACATTCACTTTTAATTACTAAATTTACGACCTAATTAAAACAATTATAATTAGTAAACAGCCACATATTTTCACATTACCGATTAGGACTTTCAATAAATCTTTATTCTTTATTATGGAGTTAAATATTAGCAAAATTATTTACTTACTATTTAAGTTACTATAGGTTATGAACATTTTAAGCATATAATGCCTATACAATAATCATTATAAACTCTCCACAGGTTCTATAATCATCGTTAATTATTTTTATTTTTTGCATTTACTACAATTACTTAAATTATTGCAGTCATAAATTGGCATAGGAATAGATATTAAAAGATTAAGACTGACTAGGAAGAAGTTATCAAAACATAAACAGTTTACATAATATGGAGAATAAGAGTATTAGAAACATTGAACCTTTAATTCAGTAGGATAGATACACTAATTTTCATCAAAAACAGCATAATATCATTAAATTAGCATATTATTACATTTGTAATAAACAAAGTATATTCTGAACATTATGAGCATTAGTTATATTATCCGGTTTTATATTCTAAACATTTGAAGTGGCAATAGGGTTTATTTCTGAATATTAATTTTTTGAATCATAGGAGAAAGGCCTTATTTGCATAAAAATTTTCTCTTATAAAATGATAAAAATGAATTTATGGGATAAATGCAAGATAGAAAATCATCTAAAAGACTGAATTTAATGGACAATTACATTCGATTTTATGAGTTGTAAGGTATCCATTAAAAAAAAGTATTTCTTTGCATTATAAACAGTAGAGTGGAAATTATTAATAATTCTATAAATGGTTTAATTGAGTTATAAAAATCCAGGGTTATAAACACAAGATTTATAATGAGGAAAAATATAGGAGTTATTAGAAAATTATAATTTAAAATCAGAATCACAAATTAAAGGAATGCAGATAATTTGGAGTTAGTAGAAAAAAAATAACAATAATTATTAAAAGAACATTCTAAAATTTATTACATTATGGAGGGGTTACTTACACATATTAAAAGACCTTTATTTACTAATTCATAAAAGTTTTAGTATACACAATTTCCGTATTTATCTAAATTTTGGTTTGAAGCACATTTTTATTACTGATACTTGAATACATTAACTTTAGTAAATAGCATAACATTATGCTTTTTTGATTTTAGTTTTTGTGTCTTATTTAATCCATATTATAAGACTATATTTTTTTAAAAAAATTATGTTTATATTATTTCTCATTTAAATAAATGTTAATTTATTATTATGTCAATATTCACTTAAATATTAATCAAAAGCAGTGTAATATGAAGTCACAGTTACTTTCGTATATTATTTTGGGACTAAACTTATGATCAATGCAAATACGTTTATCATGTTTTGAAATCATTACATTAAGAATTAAATCATCCGCTTATATTTTTTATCACATACCAAAATTTAAATTAATAAAAGTTCGATTCTTATTAATCAATAATATTTCTGATATCACATAACTCAAATACTAATTTTAAAATTGATATTTATTTATATAGTAAGTAAAATTTTATAATTAAATTAAATTTTTTTTAATTAAATTAGAACATTAATTTTTGTTTGCTAAATATTTAAACTAATTATAATTATTACTAATTTATATATTAAATTACATTTATTAATTAATGAATTTTTTTTTATACTTTTATATTAATTTATAATAATTCGAAATTATTATTGATTTTTAAAAAAATTAAAATTAGTATAAATTATATATTAAAAATTTATAATACACAGAGAATTATAAAGTCAAAATTTTAATTATCATAAAGTATATGTAATTAAAAAATTTATTAATTATTAAATAATATAACATTAAAATTAATTTTTTTAAAAAAAACTAAATTTACTTTATTAGTTATTGCATAAAACAAAATTTTAAAAATAAAATATTAAAATAATTATATGAATTTATTATAAGAAAATATAATATTATGTGAAATTTAATAAATACTAATAAAATAATATTAATTAAAAAATTATACATATAATAAAAAAAGAAAGTATAAATTTTTATTAAAAATAATAAGAATTTTAGAATAATTAATTATAAAATAAAATTTTAATATAAATAATTTATAATTTATAATTAATATTATACTTATAAATAAAATAAGATTTAATAAAAAAACTAGGAAATATTATTTTATGGTATAAAAAGTCAAAACAATATAATTAATTAATAGAATTAAATAAAATCATAAAAATTGTAAGAAAATGTTAAATTACATAATAAAAAATTAAATGAAATCTTTAATTATTATGAAATATAATAGAGAAAATTTTAATTTTAAAAAATTATAACTTATAAGAAATTTAAATCATAAAAAAGATTTACAAACAAATATTTTACTTATTCTTAATAGTTTTACTTACTTTATTTATATATATTTTTTTTTAAATAAATATCTACTAATTATATAAGAATATTTTATTTTACTTTATAAAATATTAAAATTTCTAATTTATTATACATAAATATATTTTTAATTTTATATGTTAAAATTTGATATATATAAAAAATTATTTTTTTAAATTTATTATCATTTATATAATATATATTAATCTAATTATATAATTAAAGTTAAATTATGATTTTTTTAAATTTAATGTAAAACTTTTAATCAAAACAAAATAATTTATTTTTCAAATTTCTTTTATTAAAATAATAATATTTTATTTTATTAAATAATTAATTAATATATTTATATAAAATTTCTGAAATTGCAATTTTTACTATAAAAAATTATAAAAATAAATATTATAATATAAAATAATTAAAAATTTATATTAATATATGTTATTAAAAAAAAAATTAGAAAATTAGATTTGAAAATCACTCTAAAATATAATAAAAACTCATATTAAAACTAAGAAAACTATGGACAAAACACTAAACAAATTTCTTATAGAGAAATTCTTAAAATTTTCAATATCTGTATTTTAAATTTTTTTTTAGAATATATTAGTCCTGAATTCTTAAAAAACAATTTCTTCTTCACTTTATTCAAGATTTCTTACATCTTTATTAAGGGCTATTTTCAACTCAACTTAAACAAGAGCATTTTAATGAGGTTAGAAAAGAAAAACTTCAACATCGACAGACCCTAAATTTTATCTCAAAGTCCAATATTAAACGTTTCTGACATAACTGTAAATTCCTTTATCATCAACAAATTTAACGGCTTTGATATTTAGATATTTTTTGTAAGTATTGTCTTTAAATTAAATTCTTACGTACATATGTTATCCAACTTAGTATGAAGGCACAACTCCTTATTTAAAGAAAGCATTACACGAAGAATCAGTACAAATATCAGATTTAGTATCTAAATTAGCAACTATGATGCATTCTTGTCCTTTATCACAACCATCAGTTATTTATTTGCTTACTGTTAAGTGGAATACTTCTACTACGTCACGATTTGTATATACTCTAATTTAGAATTTATGAAGACGGATAGTTCTTCTAGAATGAGATAATTCAATTGCAAAGCAGGCAATTTAATAAATAGTTCTAGCATCAGCAGTCAAAGAAGTATTTTAGGTCAACTAATATACATCGATTAAAGGAATTCTAAGGCTTATTTGAGTTTAATTTATATATGTGAAATAATTTGAATTTAAGAGCTCATAGTTTGTGCAATCTTTTGCTAACAAAATTCTTGTTCTCAGTTCATTTTTACATTTATCATCTAAAGTGGCCGTTTTAATTCTTCTCCAATCAAAAGATATATTATCTACAAGAATATTTTATTATTATTAGTTTATTTCGATTCCACAATTCGAATGGACTACCATATTAAGAATTTAATTATACAATTACCATTCACAAACAGGAGTATCAATTCCCAAATTGGTTTCTACGCATTCCCATTCAGAACCTTCTTTAAGCTTATATTGAGGAGTTAAGCATTAACAGAAATCTTTATTGACCATATGTGTAAAAGTTGGCTATTTACAAGTAAGACAAGCAGCTTAGCTTCCACATTAATCATCTCGCAAATCACAATTGCAACTAGGATGGCAACCTGGATCTCTACAGGTTTTCAGATCTTCATTAACAACAAAATCTTCAATACATTTAATACACTTTCCATCAAAAGAACATTATTAGCATGTAGGATCACATTCATTGATTTGACTGCATTCTAAAAGTGGCCAAGGTTAAGAAGGGAAAAAATTATCATAACAAATGCACGTAACTCCATCTAAACTGTAAGAATTTAAAGGACAGCTAATTTAATTTGCTTCCTTTATATTTTAACAAATTAAGGGTTCTATTTAAAAAGCTATGTAATTTTTGTTGCAAACACATACTTTTCCTTAAGCAGTAGAGTTAGCGGGACATCTAATGCATATTTCTTAATCGTTACATTGTAAACAACTGGCATTGCAAACAGGATTTTTTCTACAAATAAAAACACGGGATTAAAATTATTAGAAACCTTATTTGCATTAGCATTATCTATTCATAAGATCAAACGATGAATTTTAGGGACATTCACAACGTAATCCATCAGGAGAAATAGAAGAGTTCAAAGGACATTCACATTAAGTATCACCATTTGTAAGTATACTGAAATCAGGGCATAATGCACATATATCACTATTTTTTTAGCATTATAAACAGCTAGAGTGGCATTATGGTATTTATATACATATTAAAGGATTCTATGAAACAGCATAATATCCATAATTACATAAACAAATTTTCAAATCTATGACAAGATAAGAATTACTTGGACATGTTATTTTAATTTCTTCATGTTCGCAAATTAAAGGACTTGAAGATTTTTAAGTATATCCGGTTTTACAAACACATTTTTGTTTATCTTCACTAAGTTCTGAATTTGCAGGACATTTATTACATACATTACCTGAGGTAAAGCAATTTAAACAACTAGGATGACATACAGGAGGTTATATACAAGTTAAAGGATTTTAACTTGAAGCTATAAAACCATTTTAACAGATACATACTTAACTATCTTAATCTAAACGTTAATTTTTAGGACACCTATTAAAATCACAATGAAATTCTAAATTCTTTAGTCCCCAGAAAGTATCCTAGAATTAAAAACTTACATTTAATTCTACATTTATTCTTTTCTTTTATGGAACAAATGTTATAGTTTTAATATTTTCTAAAATTGAAACAGGCATATTTTAATTATAATATTTATCATAACACTATGTTTTTTTTACTGTTACTCTATTTATTTTTTTACATTCAAATTAATAAACTAATTTTATATTTAAGTTAAATTAATTTTTTTATATATATTATTATTTACTTAATTGATCTTCAGCATATACATTTACTGAATCATTGTATGCGAAATTATATAAATATAAATCGAATACAATCCAACATTTTACAGGTTTAACTCCAGTATCAAATGTTTTAAGTAATCTAGTTTTTTAAGCAAAATTTTATTGTAAACCAAAGACTTCCTCAGGAAAGCTGAAATCTTTATTTTCACTACATTAAGAAATTAATCCTCCACTTTTGTTTCTTTTTATACTCCATGATAGTATATCCTCGTTAGTCAATTCTTTTGATGAAAAATCTACATCTACAATTACATCAGAAAATTATTAAAAATAAGCTATAATAGATAATATTATAAGAATTGTCAATTTTAAAAACTTCATTTTTTAAAAAATATTTATTTTTTATTAATTTTAAAATATTTTTATATTTTTAAAATAAGATATATTTAAAAAAAAATACATATTTTATAATTTTAACGTACTTATAATTAAAAAAAAATTTTTAATAATTTTCATTTATTTTATGATCTTTTATATTAATTGTATACTAATATATATCTATTTAAATTTCTAGTTCAACAAATTTCTTTTTTAAAAAATATTATTTTATAAAATTAAATTTTCATAAACTATAAGTAATAAAAAATATATTTAAAAAAATAAAATAAAAATATCAAATTAAATTGAAATTCATTTGAATGATGAACAGGATTTAAAAAATTAAAATTATATTTGATTACGATTTTATTTTTCATTATAATCGAAATTTTTAGATAAATATTTATATAAAAAATTAATTATTAATAAAATTTTTAAGGAATATAAAATTAATTTTTTATTTTATTTAATTAATATATATTTAAATAATAAATTAATATAAATAATAATTTTTAAATTCAAGACTAAAATATAATTTATATTTTATCTATTTTAAAATATAAATAAATAATATTTATATATTAATATTTTTTAAAGAGTATTATTATTTATGAAAAATTAATTTAACGAAAAAATAATTTATATCTATATATATTATAATTATCATTTTTACTTATAATTAGTTATAAGATAATTTATAAAAATAACGAAATATTTAATAATATTAAGTTACATCTTTTATAAAAAAAAATATTAATAATAAAATATTATATTATAATTAATCTTATTTAAAATAGTCTATCATTAATTTTAAAATACTTATTTTATTTGTTTGTAATATAAATAGATTATAAAGTTAAAAATTTTGAATATTAAAATATATTAATTAACAAAAAGTTAAAAAGTTTATATTTTATACTTTTTATTTGATATAAAATACGAAAATCAATAAAATATAATTTTTAGTAATATTTATTGAATAAATTTCAATATTAAATTATTTATTTATTAATTGACAAATATATTTTTATAAATTAACATCTTTTATAAAATATGTATTATTTCAATTCTTTTTATAATATTTTAAAAAAATTAATTAATAAAATATTGCAAAATTATTTTATCAAAATCTAAATTAATGTATAAAAATTAAAAATATTGATTAAAAAAAAAAATATATAGAAACATTTAACATTTTTAGTATATAAAAATATAATGTATAAAAAAAATTAAATAAATATATTAGAAAAATAATAAAATTTAAAAATATAACTTTTTATAAAAAAAAAAATATATATATTTAATTGAAATAAAAGGTTAAATATAAAAATAAATATTAAAAAATAAGATGATGATTAAAATATTTTTTAAATAATTATTTATTAAATTCATAAATATAATAAATTTAATATTTTATAAAAACTAATAAAATATATATTTATTATATAAAGATTTTAATATATATTATAAAAAATATAAGATAAAATAAAAATACGTTTATTAAATTATAAATAATAAATTATAACAAAAAAAAATATAAAAAAAAAAATTATATAATATTTATTTATATTTATATATATTATTATATTAAATTATTATCTATATATTTATTAAATTAATTTTTATTTAATATTTTTGATCTTTTTAAAAATTTATTTCATATTATTTATAATAATTTATTTAATTATCAATATTTTTTTTTCTTTTTTTATATATATTTATTTTATTAAAATCTTTCTATATATTTATATATAAATTTTTAATTTTCTTTTTATTTTTTAAATAATATTTAACTATTTTATTTTAGTAATATAAAATTCAATTTATTCCTTCAGGATTTTTTTTTATAAAATTATATGCATCTTTACACATATCCAAATCTGTTTTTTTTGCTTTCCATCCAAGTAAATTCAATGCCTTATTAACTTTTGCTACTACTTTAGCTACATCACCTTCTCTTCTTTAAGTTATCTAATAATCTATTTTGACTTCACAAGCTTATTCATAAAGTTTAATAACTTCAAGAACACTTAATCCTCTTCCAGTTCCAAGATTAATAATTTCATATTTTTCTTCTTATTTTTCATCCATATATTTTAGAGCTGCTACATGTCCCTCAGACAAATCTTACACATGGATATAATCTCTTACTCCAGTTCCATCTACTGTATTATAATCATTTCCAAAAACATAAAGTCTTTCTCTTTTCCCAATTAATACCTACCCAATAAAAGGAAATAAATTACTAGGATAAATAGATGGAGAATCGCCTATTTCTCCCGAAACGTGAGCTCCAGCAGGATTAAAATATCTTAAAGCTATCATTTTTACTCCTGGTAAGGCAACAGACATTGATTACATTAACATTTCTACTGCTAGCTTTGATTATGCATATGGACTTTGAGGATTTGGAGGAGTATCCTCAGTACAATCATCAGATTATCCATATATAGCAGCAGTGGATGAAAATATAAAATTTTTTACTTTGTATTTATCTAAAAGTTTTAACAAATTTAATGTTCCTTATACATTGTTTTCGAAATACATTATTGGGTTTTTCACAGATTCACCAACAGCCTTTTTTGCTGCAAAGTGGATTATGTGAGATATTTTATATTTTTAAAATATTAATTCTAGGCTAGAAAAATCTAATATGTCAACCTCATGGAATGTAAAGAACTCTTCTTTTTTGACATTAGGATGTTATTTATGAAGAATTTCAATAATTCTATTCTATGTCTTTGGTGAACAATTAGATAAATTGTCGATAACACATATTTAGTAATGCTTTTTATTTTCTTTGATGTAGTTATATAAATCTATTAATACATGGGAACCTATATATCCTAATCCTCCTGGTAATAGAATTGTTTGCATTTACGATATTATTTTTAAATAAAAATTTATTTTATTTTTTCTTTTTTTATTTATAATAAATCTAAAAAATAAAAATAAGAAATATAGAGAATATATATTTAAAAATAATTTTAAATTTGTTAATTAATATTTTAAAAAAATAAAAAAATGAGTTTTACATTTGAAAATCTTCTTTAATAAATATAATAATCGTTAGAAAATTTAAAATAAGATATTTACGATCGTTTTAACTATAATTTAGATGAAAATCTTATATATTTAGATATTAGTAGATATTTAATTTTATTAGAAAACATATTGTTTGAATAATATGAAGATTAAAAAAGAAAAAAAGATACCTATTCTTCTTAAGAATGTATTTCTATTTAACATAAATAATTATTAAAAGAATATAAAACATCTATGGATTAATTGAGAAAACAAAATTAAATAATCAAATAATTAATTAATAAGAATAACTAAGATGATATGATTCTTAGCAAAAATAAAAAATTTTATAAATTTTAAGAAGAAGAAGAATATTTTGATTAAGAAAGTATTTAAGGTTAAATAAATGAATTAGATTTAATTAAACTAAAAAAATAAGAGAAAAGGAAATTGAAAAATACAAAAATTGAATAAAATATAAGAAAAAGTAATCGTTAACAAACAGAATAGAAAAAATAAGTAAATAATAAATCTATTAATTTAAATTGTCAAATATCTAAACTAGATAAAGAAATAAGCAATATAACTTAATATATCTAAAAATTATATTTAAAATAAAAAATTTGATATTTTATGTAAAAAATATATATAATATAGAATATAATATAGTATATATATATATAAAAATATATATATATATATATATATATATATATATATATATATATTTTATCGAAATTTAATAAACTATTAGCTTTTATTATTTTTTTAGATATAAAAATATTTTAAATTCTATAAATTATAATAAAAATTATCAATTAAAAATTAAAAAAAATTATAAATTAAGTATAATTTTTTTTTTAAATATTTTATATAATTTTTTAAAATACATTCTAAATTTTTATAATTTACAGAATAAATAAATAAACTTAATTTTTACTTTATACTCTTTATTAATTTTACACAAATTTAGATACTCAAAAATATAAAATTCGTAAATAATATTTTTATATATTATAATTATATTAATATCAAATGATTTTATTTAAATAAATATAATTTAATTTATTAAAAACAATAAATATTTAAAAATATTAAAATATTTTAAAAAATATACAATATGAATCATAATAATTTTATTAAAATTAGATTTTAATATTGTAGATTCTTTTATAATTATATATTATTACTTTTTTTGTTTTTAATATTTATTTGAAAATAGTCTTATCTAAAAGACATTAATTATTTTTTTAATATTTTTACTTTTTATTTACTATTTAAGTAAGATTCATAAAATTTATCGCTGAATTATTAATACATAAATTTTAAATAATAAATAAATTTAAGTTTTTCTAAAATATTTAGTTATTTTATTTATATATAGGATTTTTTTTATTATTTTTTTAATATTTATTTGTAATTAACTTTATTAAATTAAGTTATGACTTTTTTTATTGAAATATTATATTTTATCTTGTAATATATTTTTTGTTTTAATATTTTTTTAAATATAATATAATTGTGAAAATATTTTTTATTTAAATTCCTTTATTGATATATTTAAATTATAAAAATAAAAAAAAATTGAATTATAAAAAATGGCATTAAAAAGAATTTAAAAAGTAAAATACAATTTATTAATAAAAAAAGCATTAATTATTTAATGAAAACTCTTTTTTTATAGTAAAATATAAATTATTTGATTACAATTTTTCATTTTTAATACATTTTAAAAAGAAGAATAATATGATACTAATATTAAATATATAATAAATTTATAAATAAAATTAGGAACTGTAAGATTTAAGTAGAGAACCACCTAGTAATTGTTCAGCTGGTCCAGTAGAAGGTTAAAAAGATGCATTTTAGTGGTAAGCTACTATAATGGGTCCAGTAAAATATAACTAAAAATACAAAATATTTTAAATTAAAAATTAATAAAATAGGAAGATTCCCCTTATTCTGGCGGTGTATTCTTTTTGAGTATTCACTTTCCTACTGATTATCCTTTTAAACCTCCAAAAGTTACGTTCACAACAAGAATATATCATCCAAATATAAGTAATTAAGAAATTAATATTTTTAAGATATTTAAAAAAATAATAGATTAAAATGGCTCCATATGCCTTGACATACTTAAAGATCAATGGTCTCCTGCATTAACAATTTCAAAAGGTTAAAATAAAATATATTAAATTATGAAAATTTTATATAAACATTGTTCTTAGTACTATTATCAATCAGTTCTTTATTAAACGATCCTAATCCTGATGATCCTTTAGTTCCAGAAATAGCCTAATTATATAAAACTGATAAATAGAGATATGAAGCTAATGCAAGAGAATGGACAAGAAAATATGCTATGTGAATGAAAATATTTTTAAATAGATATATTTATATGAATATATAAATAAGTGAAAAAGTATAATTTTAAAAAATATACTAAGCAAAATAATAATAAAAATATATTATAAAATATTTAATATTTAAAATTTATATCCCAAAAATAAAAATATTATATTTATTAAAATATATTTTTTTAATAAAACACTTTCAATTTTTCTTTACTTTTTTTTTCCTTTATACATCAAAAACTCTTGATTAAAAGCTTTATCTTATTTTCTAGCAACAACAACAGTTCCACTTTTTCCAAGTTAAGCATCTTTTTAAATTTCTAAATCGTCAATATTAAAGTTATATCTGGCATGAATATTCTTCTTTCCTTATTTGTCTTAAACATATTACATTCCTTCATTTTCAATTTCTTCATCATCATTTTTTTATGGCAGCATTTTTTCTTCTAATATTTATAAATTAACCTTATCATCCTTCATATTTTCAAAAATATCTTTTTCAAAAATATTTTCTATTACTGCTGCAAATTTCCTCATTCCTTTATTGAAAATTGCAAGAATTTATTCTTCAGGTAAATTTAATTCAGTAGCTAATTATTCACTATTTTTATGTTAAAATCCTAGCCCTATAAAAACACAATTTTAAATTTCACTCAAAAAGGCATTATTAGGCAATCTTTGTAAATAATAAAGTTTACATAAAACACTCAAAAGATCCTTAATAAGATCAAAATCGGCCAAACTTTTAACGTAAGCTTCAATCCTTTTCATATCATAAGCATTTAGGTATTTCTCAAATGCTTCTTTATCCATAATTTTGGGTAAAACAGCAATTTTATTTTAACCTTCTTCTTATTCTTCCTAAATTTTAAGAATTTTAGAACATAAGATGACATCTAGTCCTTTGTACTAAAATTGTAGACTTTCTAGAAATCTTTTTTTAAATTCTTATTTAAATTCTTATAATTTTTCTTCAAAAGATTTTTCTTCGTTATGTCCTTGATTTATTTTTTTAACCATTATACAAGAATGTTCTCCTGTAATATTATTTTACATATGTTTCAAATAAACACTTTCAAATCCATTTTTTTACCAAAACTTGAACAAATTATTGTTTAGTCCAAAAGAAACAGACAAATAATCTACTTTAGGGATATTAGCCTCAGTTAATTTTCCTAATAATCTTTATATCTACCCTTAGTTTTCCCCGAAAACATCGAATTTTGTGGTACTTTCATTTTCATCTAAACTAATAATTTCTCCTTAAAAAAATCTTGTTAATAATTCTAAACATTTACTTCCGTATCCCATTCTACAAGCGGATGGATGACTAGCAATTCTCACAATTCTAACCCCAAGACCTTAAGGGAATTAGTTATCTAAAAATTATTCTTATAAAACCCAAGGAACTAAATCTCCATTAGGTTTAGAGCTTTTTTCTTATTTAATAAGTATTTCTTTTTCAGAAATTCCGCCTTCCAAAGCAACCTAAACAGCACATAGAACATCAGGGAAATCTTTACTATTTTTTTCTATATTTTTATCTAATAAAATAAATATTTAATGTCCTGGTGCATCAGCAATTAGCTAAAGATCATTTGGAGAATTTTTGTAATGAGAAGAAACAAACAAAGACATTATTTTAAACAAAAATTCTTCTGCAGAATTTTTATAAGAAAATAAAGTTTATTTATTTACATAAAATAGCTCACATTCGTTCGGATGGACGAGTCCTTTTTTTAATGGAACTTCATTACAAGCTTCTAAAAGCATGACTTCATTTAACCAATGTTCTATAACATCATTTTAATTATATCTTATAGGTTATTCAAGAGTTATTTCTTTTATTTTTTCTCCTTTTTTTAATTCTGTTATTAATTTCAAAGATAGAGATCTGCCTGTGCCTTCATATCCGTTAATAGTGGAAGACAAAATGACAAAATTATTCATATTTTTATTTTTCAATCCTTTTTTTAAAACAGGAAGGGGAATTGCAGCTGCTTCATCGATAAAAAGGACATCCCATTAATTTTTAAGAAGTCCTAAATCTCCAGGAAGTACAAATTAAATTGTTTAACGGTGATTTTTTTTGAAGTTTATTTAAATTATCTCTCTTCCTAAATCTTTTTCACAGCTCTACATTATTTCATAATCGACATTTTCTACCCAAGAATATTAATCAATTCCTTTCAATAAAAAGTTGAAAAAAGAACTCACGTTAAATACGCATGGAGATGTTATGTATATGTTAGAATATCCATTTTATATACAATAAGCTGCAGCAAGTCCTAATAAAGAGGATTTACCTCTTCCACGAGAAGCTGTAAGGGACAAGGTGAAGTTATTTTTTTCTTTTAAACTGTCCAAAATATGTAAAAGGGCAGTTGCCTAATCTAAAGTAGTGCAAATTTATACTAAAGGACTTACTTCGGATTTATTTTATTTTAAATTTTATTTTAGTTATTCTAATTTTTCTTTTTTATCGGTTGAAGATTCTTCTATTTTTTCAAAAATAAAATTATTATTTAGAATCGTATTTTTATCTTAAATCAAAATGTTCCGTGGGTATTTTAGAAAAGATTTGTATAATCTAGAATTAAATAAAGAAAATTTTATTTATTGAAATTTCGTTGATTTGTATTTTAAATGAACATCCATTTATATGTTCTGTATTTAGTTAATTTCGCTTATTTTTTCCAAAAAAAATACAATTATTCCTCCAGATTTAACTGTTTCAATAACTCTACATAATGTATTTGGAGTTATTGATTAAAAATCAGTCAAAATGCAAAATAAATATGTCTATCCTAATATTTTTTCCGAATCTTTATATTTTATTTAAACTTAATTTTATATTTGGAATTAAGGAGGTTGACGGGAATAACATATGAGTGTTTTTTGGTTTTATAAAGATTTGTTTTGTATTAATTTTTGTATCTATTAATTTGTTTCGATTATCTACTGTTTTTCAAATAGAATTATTATTCCTCGTTCATTTTATTCTTGAATTTATCTTATAAATGAATGTATTCTTTTTTATTATGTATTTTGATTCATTTTTAGTTTTTTTTTATTTTAGACCTTTTAATTTTTTTTATTTTTAATATTTTTGTTTATTATATATTTATTTCAATAATTTTATATTTTTTATATGAATACAATTATTTATAGTTTTATTAATTATATTACATTTTATTTTTATTTAATAATGATTTAATTAAGTTTTAGTTATTAACTTGATATTAAATAATAATGTATTTATAAATATATAATAAGTTAAATAATTGCATAAGTTAAGATTATGTAAAAAATTAAAATTATTTTATAGTAAATACTTATAATTATTTTAATAACTATTTTTTTATAAAAAAAAAATTATAAATTTTATTCAAAATATTATGTAAATTTATTTGAAAATAAATACTATTATAAAATATATATTATTAAAAATATTTTTATTATAATAGTTTTTTATTTTTAAAAATATTTAATAAAAATTATAAAAAATATTTATAATCAAAAATATTATAAATTTTAAAATTTAAAAGAAAAAAATATAAAATTTTATTTATTATAAATATTATTTAATATTAAAAAAAATCATAATTACCATTCTTAAGATGGTTTTATACTTAAATCCATGTGTATCATCGTTTTCATATGATTAAAATCATATAGAAATATAAGTAGCTAAAAAAATAATAGTTTTAGAAATATTTTTGATATATATAGTCTACTTAGTTTTAATAATTATTGGAACTTTGAAAAATAAATTTTAAGAAAGTATTTAAAACAAATAATTATTCGTATTAATATAAAAAAATAATATATTTAAAAATAATCATAAAAAAGGTAAAGGTGCACTATAAAGTGATTTCTTAAATGATGGTAAAAATCCAGGAAAAATAAATGTAAATATAATTAACTTTAAAATACATATAAAAAAAGAGTTAATAATAATCTAGTGATTTTGTAAATTAAATAGATTTTGAATTATTTGAAAAGTTCTTTTATCCATTTTATAGTTTTCATACTATTAGTGCTGGAATGAGTATTCTTTATGCTCCTTATCCGTTTGCCATAGCGATTTCATATATTCATTTTTTAATATTTTTAGGAATTTTATTTTTGAAATTTAAATCTAATGAATAAAATGCTTAAGCAAGATTAAAATTAATTTACATTCTATATGCTTTATGTTAATTATTAAACATGTGCTTAATAGTTGCAGGATTAGTAGGAATGGGCTATGGAAAAAAATCAAATATACTTGAATATACATCTTGTTTTGGAAAGGCTTTTGATTGAAAATAGTAATAATTTTTATATATATAAAATATAATTATATATAAAAAAAATTAATGTAATAAAAATACATATAAAGATGTTTAAAAATTATTTATTTTGCTTTATTTACTTTCAATATTTTATATTATCATATTTATCTTTGTAAATTTCATATTAAATAAGAATATCTTCCCTTTTATTAATAAATCCATCCAAAAGTGTATTTTTAGTTTCTTCTTTACTAAATTCTACATATACACAAGAACTTACTTATTCACTGACTTCTGGGATTTAAATTATTGCTAAAACATCTTATTTAACAATTTGAATATCAGGCTATGCCTTAATAATTATTTTTTAAAAAATATTTATGTCAATATTAAGCATAAGCTCACAAATTTTCGTACATCTAAAAAAAAATTATTTCTACAAATCAAAACCTTTTAAATATTCATTAATAAGTTAAAAGTCAGCGTAGTGCAACAAACAAATAAAAAGCATATTATAAGCATCTGAATTTTTTTATAATTCTGTATTATCACATTCTATTTTTTCTATGTTTTTACCTATTTCTTTGCATTCTTCTTTAAGAGAATCTTATATTTCTTTTGGAAAAGGAGCTTTTATATATTCATAAGTTTCTTCATTAGTAAAAAGAACTAATTCTAAACCATTTTACATATTTTTTACTGTTTTTAATAATAATATTAGTAAACTTGCCCAGGCACAATTTTTAGCAAAACTGTTATCTTAATCATTTGTTATATTTTAAATAATTACCTTTGTTTCATTTAAAAATTTTTTGAATTTTGTAATATCCTCTCTTAAACTTTAAAATATATATTTTTAAACAAAACGAAGTGCTTTATTTTATTTAGTCTTTATTTCTTCTACACTTTCCTTTACATTAATCCATGGATATTCAAAAAATTCTTAAAAACTCATCCTTTTCTAAACATTCACATCAAGCATTTTTTCAATTAACTCTATTACATCTTATGGAATCAAAGCTAAATTATCAAATTGAACTTTTCCTTTATCAATGATATTTATTAAATCTATAATATTAGCTCCTTTAGGCGGTTAAAACGGTAATTTTCCGAAAATCATTTAATACAAAATCACGCCAAGGCTCCAAATATCACATTTTTCATTATATTATTATCTTTTTAAAATCTCTGGAGCCATAGTAATTGGAGTTCCGCAATAACTTTATAAAAGAATATTTTCTTCAAAATGTTTTGCAAATCCAAAATCACTTAATTTAACAATTAGATCTTTATTAATTAATATATTGGCTAGTTTAAGATCTCTATGAACTATTTTTAAACGACGTACCTCTTTAAAAGCTTTTGAAATTTAATTCATTACTTTTTGGGCAAAACTAATTGGAAAACGACCATCATGGTATTTTTTCATATAATTTTCTAAATCTCCTAATTCGCAATATTCAAATATAAGATAAACATTATTCTATGTCTTTTTATATTCGTAGAATTTAATTATATTTGGATGATTTAGCTTTAATAAAATATTTATTTCTTTATCAATTTGATCTTGATTTTCTGGTTTCAATCTATTTATTTAAAAAGTTTTAATAGCATATTCTTAAGTATTTTCAGGATCAACACTTCGTGTATAATATACTCTAGCAAACTAACCGTTTCCGATTTCTTTTATAAGTTAATATTAACCTATTTACTTATAATGAATTTGTTAATCACGCTTTTATTATTAATGAGTTTCCATTTTTTAATTGTTTGATTTCAGTATGTTTATATTGTGTATTAATTTTTTAATATATACGAATATATTATTATTGTTATTAATATTTTTATTATTATTATTATTTATTATTATTATTATTATTATTATTTTATAATAAATATATTATTATTTTAATTATTATTTTAAATATTATTATATTTTATATTTATTTGTTTAATTTCATTATCTATTTATTATCATTATATTTGTTTTCAACATTTTATATTATAATTTGTTTTAAAATATTAATTAATACTTAATTTTTTTTTTATATTATATTTTTTTAATTTTCTAAAATAAACATTATTGATATAATATTGTATCAATTTAATTCTAAATATTTTCAAATTAAATGAAAAATTATTTACTATTTTAAATTAAATAAATTATATATATTAATATTTAATAAAAGTTCCATAATTTTATAATTTTTAAAAATAATAAAATTACAACTAAAAATTTAAATTTATGTTTTCCTTATTTTTACTAAAAGTGTTTATTGTTTTTAATAAATTTTAATTAATTTATTAATCCTTTAAAATTTATAATTTATAATTATAAATATTATTTGCATAAATTTATATATATTTGATAAAAATTTTAAAAATGATCATGAATATTAATTTATTAATTTTGCATTTTTTAAAAATAATAAATATAAATAATCATTAAAAAAAAAAAATTATAATCAGAATATAATATAAAATAAATAATATTTTATATAAAAGATAAAGTTAATGTCGAAATTACAAAATGATACAGAATATGATTGGTTAGTAAAACTATTAATTATAGGAGATTCTGGAGTAGGCAAAACTAATGTTCTTCTTCGTTTTTGTGAAGATAAATTTACTCCTACTCATTTAACAACTATAGGTTAGGTTTACATTCATTTAAAAAAATATACAGAATATAAAAAATAGGAATTGATTTTAAAATGAAAAAAATAGAAATAGATAAAAGTAAAATTAAATTATAAGTATGGGATACTGCAGGTTAAGAAAGATTTCGAACTATAACTTAAAATTATTATAAGGGTGCAATGGGTATAATTATGACATATTCAATAAATGATAAAGAATCGTTTAATAATGTTGAAATCTGGATGAAATAAATTAGAGAATAGGCAGATAGTAATGTATAAAAAATACTTATTGGTAATAAATGTGATCTGGAAGCTGAAAGGTAAGTAACTTTTTATGAAGGAAAATCTTTAGCGGATACTTTTGGAATTAAATTTTATGAAACATCAGCAAAAAATAATATCAACGTTTATGATGCTTTTATTGATATATGCAGAGATATAAAAGAAAAAATGGTTCAATAATAAAGTTTAAATAAATAAGATTAATTTGATATTTATAATGAAAAATAAAATAAAAATAAAAATAGGGTGGATGTGAATGTTGAAAAAAATAATATATTATATATAATTATTAATAATAATAAAAAAAATATTACAATAAATATATTCGAAATAGTGAATATTAAATAATTTTATAATAAAATATAATTATTTAATAATACATAAATAAAAATACTTTTTATACTTAAAATTATTAGCTATATTTTTATACAATAGTATGTGAGAAAAAATAGTAGTTTATAATTTTCTTTCACATAATTTTATATGTTAATAATTTTTTATTCATATTTTTTATCATATATCATTCTTTATAAAAAAAAATAAAAATCAAAATATATTTATTTTTTATATCTTTTTAAATAATATATTCTAAATGCTTTTAATTTTTAAAAAATCATATTTGTTTGTTAAAGACTTATTAATTGAATATATTAGTAATAAATTTAATACAAATATTTAAAAAATATGTAAAATTAAAAAATATTTTGGTAATTCTATTATATAAAAATTTTAGTAAAATAATTAACAATATGAATTTTTAATCATATAAATGAATATTTAACTTAATAAATATTATTATATATCTTACATATTATATAATTTTTTAATTTCATTACTTTTTTAAAACTATATATTTTTCGTATATTTTGAATAATAAAAATAAGATAATATAAAATAATATTTATATTTATAATACTAATAATTATTATAAGATTAAATTGAATATTTTTGTTATCTTAATTTTAAATCGTTTTTTATGTTTAAATATTTAATCCAAAAAACTAAACTATAATTTAAAAGAATATAATTTTATTAAATATAAGACTTCTAATAAGATTCTTAAGCCAAATATTATTTAATGTGTATATATTGAATTCAAAATACATATTTTTTTATTTACAAAGAACAAAATCATAATTTAAAGAAAATTTATATATTTAAATTAGTATCTTAAAATAAATATAAGAATTTATATCTTAACAATTAATTAAGATATTTTTATACAAAAAGTCTATAAAAAATTAAGGTCAATCATAGTAATAATAATTAGAAACAATATATAAATAATATTATAAAATATTTATGCATAATATAAAATTCTCTAAATAAGATATATTTAGATGAAAATATTAATGAGAAAACAAACTAGAACAGAAATAAATATATTTATTAACATTTAAACAATAAATAAAACTAGTAAAAAGCTGAATAAAAATATTGTAATGGACGATGATACACAAACCTGAAAACCAGTAAAAATAATGGGTTTATAATCTATATAATTTTAATTATTAATAATTATATAAACTATGATGAATATTAAAATTAAATTCAAAATAGAATAAAAAAAGAAAGAAAAATAGTGAGTGCTTTTAATACTAATAAAAATTCATGGAAGAGGAAAATCTATTATAATGTAATATACTAAAAATGACGATTATAATTTAAAATATTAAATTAATAAAAAAAAAGAAAGAAAATAAAATATATTGAATATGAATTAGATAAAAAATGTAATTCTTATATATAATATAAAATTAATAATTTATTTAATAATATTATATAAATATATTATATTATTAAAAACTACTTTAATATTTAAAAGTAAGTTTAAATATTATATCATTATTTTTAATTTATATTATAGATCATTTTTAAAAAAACCAAAAATTTAACATACTTTATAAAAAAATTATAATTATTTGATGAAAAAATTAATATTGAAAATTTACATAAAATTATTTATTTTTTATTTTAAAAAGAATATATATGTCTTTATTATTGTTATATGATTTAATTTTGTTTTTTATAAATAGTTTAATTTTTTAAATTTATTTACATATTTAATAACATTTTTATTTTATTAATATTTACTTATTAAGTTGTATTAAGTTTTTATTTTGAAGAAAATATTAAAATTATTATTTTTATTTACAAATATAAATATATTATATTTTAAAAGTATAAAAACTATTCTTAAAATAATAATAAAATAGAAATAAAAAACATTAATTTATGAGTGGATATTATATTAGAATATAATTAAATAAAACTGATATAAAAATAATTTCATTTATTTTCATTTGCCTTATATGCACTCACAAGGTTCAAATCTTGTTTTAATCATTTAATTCTTACATCTATCACATTAATATACAGTATCCTTGCAATTATTGCAAAAAAATGGAATAAAAGCTGGAAATAATCCACAAAAACATAATATAAAAGAGCATAGCCATGTACCAGTCCCTATTGAAGGCTTCATTTTGATTGGAGTTTTAAAATTACAAATTTCACAATATTAAACAGGCAAATAATTATACTTACATTTTTTAATTTATCCTGTTTATAAACCTGTTTATTCTGTTGCAATTTATAATTATTAATTTTAAATTTTATTTTAAATATGAATTTAATTTTCATATGCTTAATCTTTATCATATTATATTTAAGGAGGTTTTTAGTTAAAAGTTTAATTTTATACTATTTCTTATTCTTAAATTAGATTACTCTATTGTTATAGATATTATTAATTTAAGTCTTAATTTTAAACTAAATTTTTATTCTACATCAAATTTTTTTATTCTTCTTCTTTATTCATTTTTATTAGAAGTATTTTATTACAAATAGTTTTTTAATTTTTTTTCTAATTATTTATTTATATTATTTTAAATAAAATTAAGAAAACGGAATACAGAATTTATCGTTTTTAAATATTTTTTTTATAATAAAGCAAAAATAAAAAAAATGATTAATAATTCTTAATTATTATCAAATAATAAACTTTTTTATATTAATATGGTTAAAATTGTTTGTATATAATATTATATTTAATATTAAATTAAATATTTAATTTTTAAATCTGATAAATAACTCTTAGTAAATTAATTTATTATAATTTGTTTAAAAAAAAAAATATTTAATAAATAATTTATTTATTTTTATACATTATTTAAATATATCTTAATTTTAATTTGAATATTCTATTTAATTTTCAAAAATATTTAAAGACATAATAAAAATGTTATTTTTATTTATGATTTAATTTTATTCTTGCTTATAATTTATTAATTTTTAACTTTAATTGAGTTTAAAGTAGATAATATAAAATAAACTATTTACAAATTTCAAATATTTAATTATTTATTATTTCTTTGTAATTATTATATATTAGAAAGATTAATAAAACTAAATAAATATATTGAAAAATAGTTTGCACAGGTACTTAAAAATTATTTTCTCGATCAATTTTTTTTTAGGTTTAGATTTTTTGAAATACATGTGGAATTAGTATAAATAATTAAGATAATAGATTTAATAAAACAAACTCATTGAGACTTTACTTGTGAACTCAATTAAAATTATTATTGAAAATTAAATTAATTTTTTTTGTATGTATATATCATTATTTTTTTTTAAATAGAAATAATATTAAATTATTATTTTATGATAAATAAATATTATTTACTAATCATTTAATAATTTTTTTTTTATATATATAAATAATAGATATAATAATTATTATATGAAATTAATAATATTACTAATAAATATATTTAATATTAAAATTAAATATTTATTTTTAATATTTTTTTTAAATCTCTTTTAAAAATATTAATATTATTTAACTTTAAAATTAAATAAGTAAATAATAAAAAATATGACAAAAAAATTAACTACTTAATTATTATTAAATAATTTTGTGTTTATTTTTATTTATTTAATAAAATTTTAAATATATTTTATATTAATTTACTTTCTTTTATAAAAAAAAATATATATTACCATTGAGAATCATGTATTTATTTAACAATTAAAAAACATAATTAAATTATAACAATTATTGCTATTTTCGGCTATAATTATATTATGACATTAATAATAGTATACTCTTATTTAAAAAATAATGTATATAAAATGTTGTAAAATTAATAATTTTATTTAAACACATTTTCTTTAGAAAAGTTAATTGTAATATTTAAGTAAAAACAATAAATAGAAAAAAAAGAAATTTCGAATCTACAAGTAATAATGTTTGAATAATTATTATATAAAAAATTAATAATATACATATATTTGAATAATTAATATGCTATGAACTTATAAAAAGTGAGGTATCAATTAAATATAATAATAATAATGATATTTAAAATTAAATAAAATGAAAAAGATGTTTATAGATTTCTACAAAAAAGATACAAAACTCAGTTTTTTTTATGGCTTTTAAAGATAAATAAATAATCAAGAATTTTCTAGAAAATACTTAAAGTTATCCTATTAAAAAATTTAGGTTATCAAAATTATAAGTTTTTAAAGATAAAACATTTTTGCTTTAATTAATTTCAAAAGCTAAAATAATATTTTATTCACGAAATAAGAAGAGAAAAAAAAATTACGCAAAAAAAGTTAAATTTATTTTTTTAAATAAATTCGATAAACTTCCTAAATTTATCCATCGAAAATTTCTAAAATATATTCGGTATCAAAATATATGAAGATTTATTTTCTTAAATTTTTGATTTTATAATTTTTGTTGATATATTAGTTAATTTTAATATTTTTTTATAACAAAAAAATTTAGAAACTATTGGGTAGAAATATTTGTTAATTTCTTAAAGCAAAAGTTAATTTTAGACCTGATATCAGCAACTCCATTAATAATTTTTAATAAGGAATAATTAAAAGGAACTATTTTTGATAATTGGTAGTTAATGATAAAAATTAATATTATTTAATAAGAATTTATAATTAAAGTTAATTAAAAATAAGATTATAGGAATGGCTTTATTTAAGAAGATATTCAAATTGTTTAATAATATTATTAAATTTATTATTTTAGATTATTTACATGACACATATTCTTTCATTATTTGTATAGTTTTTACTACTACTAGGACTATTATTGGCTATGGAGATTTTAAGCCAGCAAATGATATTGACTATTTGTTTCCTAATTGTATTATGGGTAGTGAAATTTTGGCTATAGTATGGGATAAATTGGAATTATTTTAAAATAATTTATCGGAAAATTTTGGCAAAATTAAAAGTATTTTTTAAAATATAAATATATTGTCAAAAAAATATAAATTATGGATAATCTTTAAAGAGCCATATTATTAAAAGAGTAAATTTTAAAAGGTTGTCATATAGATTTAGAAAACATTTGTAAAATAAAAGATTGTATAAGTATTTACCATAAAACAAAGGAAGCAGGTGGAAATTTTATTTTGGCTTGAATTCTTAAGATCATTTAATTCATTATTGTCTTTATATAAATTACATTTCTAAAAAGACAAATTTTTCTAATATATATATATTTTTTTTTTCTTTTTTAAAAAGATAAATATTTAATATCAATTCCGTTAAGAAAATAATTATTATATGGAAATAAAATGTTGTTTATATCTATATGATAATAATTCATAAGAAGAAAGTGGTATTATAAATGAAAAACTTAATATTTTATTTTTAATTAAAGATAATTTTCATAATAGAAACATAAATCATGATATTAATTAGATTTTTTAACTAAGATTAGAATGAACTAAAAATTTCAGCTTAAAGACTAAATTAAAAAGGCACTCTTTAAATTTTAATAAAGAAGAAAGTAATTTTAATAATACTTAAAAAAGGCATCTTTAACTAAAACTAACTTAATAACATAATATGGAATCGAAATTTTAGAAAATAATTAAAAAACACTCTTTGTATTCTTTGTATTGAAATATTTAGAAATATGATGGTGTAAAATAAAAAACTGGTTTTAAATATGGAATAGTTCTATTTAATGAAGAACTATTATATTTATTTTTCACAAAATAATGTAAATAATGTAATATAATTAATGTTTTTAAAGGTCTCAAAAAATAACATCCTTATAATCATTTAATATAAAATTTAGTTTTTAAAGAAAACGACTGGAAGAATAATTATCCTATAATTAATTAAAAAAATAATTATTGAGTTAATAAGATGGATATTATATTAACAAAGTTAAATAATTATAAATATAACAAATTAAACTATAAATCTTGTAATGCTTTTGTTTAAGCCTTAACAGAGAATAAGATGAAACTGAAAACATTAAGTATGCTACATATTTAAATTAATAATAATTTTATCTAAATAATTATTCTATATTTTAATTTTACTTTTATTGTTTCTATTTTTTATCATGTTTTAATTTTTTATTTAACTTTTACCCTTTATTTTATGCTTATATAAGATTAATAAATATTAAAATGTCTTAATTTTTTTAAAAAACATATAATATACCTTATAATAAATAGATAATAAAATGACAAAAAAAAATATAATTTGATAATTTTTAAAAATGAAAATAAATATAAATAAATTGAATATTTAAATATTGTTTATTTATAAAAATATAAAAATAGAAAATAAATAAACAAAATCACTCTTCTAAACTAAAATAATTTCCTGCCAATTTCTATTCTCTATCCAAAAGTGACTCCATTTTATTAATTCTTGGTCTAAAGTTGGAAGGATCTCTTCTAAAAGTGACAGACATAATTTCTAAGAATTTATTCATACCAGAAACTAAACTCTAAGGCGAATTAGCAATACATTCTTTACCTGGAGACCCTTCATAAACAATAACCCTTTAAAAATAAATAAAACTTTATTTTTTAAAAAATACTTATCGGCTAAATAAGTAGCCATAATAAAATCATGTTCTACTATAAAAGCAGCTCTTTTAGTATTCATAATGAATCTTTTAATAACTTTAGCAACAATAATTCTCTATTCTGAATCTAAATAAGCAGAAGGTTCATCAATAAGATAAACATCAGCAGGCTTACCCAAAGCCAATATAAGAGCAACTCTTTACAATTCACCACCAGATAGTGCTTGCACTTCATTATCAATAATATCTTCTAACATCATGGGTTTTCCTACATCAGAAACAAAAGCAGGGTGCGTATAAGCATTAGAAAGTCTTAAGTTAAGTAAATCTCTTACACTTCCATCAAATTTAGGTGCAAGTGTTTATGGTTTATAAGATACGTTTAATTCTGGAACTTTGTCTTTCATGTCAGCATCTTTACCAGCTAACATTTTTATAAATGTTGTTTTACCAGTTCCATTTTCTCCTAATAAAACTATAATTTCAGATTAACTGAAACTTCCCGGATGTACTGTCAGTTAAAAATCTCCTTATTTTTTAACCATATGAGGGTAAGTATAACTTGCTAATTAAGCAGTATCAATAGGTTCTATATTATCAGCAACCTATTTTATTTAATTTTTATTTACAACTGTATTTAAAAAAAAAAAATACTCTAAAACTCAAGCCATATTCTCTAAAACGCATATTTTCTGTAGGAATGAATCCACCAAGGAAAATATTAATACCTTCTCTAACAGAAAAAGGCATAGTAACAATACCATAAGCAGTTTATTCACCATAAAGACAACAAATAAAATCAGAAAGATAATCTAAAACAGAAAGATCGTGCTCAACACAAATAATATAATTCTTATCTTGAATTAATTACCTTATTACTCTTGCTGCTTTTAGTCTTTATTTTACATCTAAATATGATGAAGGTTCATCGAACATGGATATTTGAACGTCTTAAATACAAACAATAAGAATAGCTAGACGTTGAAGTTCTCCTCCAGATAATTGGGTGATGTCTCTTTCTAATAAATGGTCTAATTATAATTCTTAAAGTAGTTATTCAGAATTTCCTTTTGAGTCTTTTTACCTTATTATATCCCCTACTTTTCCTTTTACGTATTTAGGAATTGCATCTACATATTAAATTTTTATAGCAGATCTAATATATATTATATTTTTTATTTAAATAATGCATATTTATATATATATATTAATTTACTTTAATTTTTATTCTAACATATTTGTAAAATATCCTTATAATTCAGAGCCTCTAAAATATTTTAGTAACTCATTCCAATCAGGAGGATTATCAAATCTTCCTAAATTAGGTTATTCTTTTCCTGCTAATATTTTCAATGCTGTAGATTTTCCTATACCATTTGTTCCAACTAACCCTAATACTTAACCAGGGCGTGGTGTTGGTAAACGGTGTAATTTAAATGTGTTGGGACCATAACGATGGGTAAGATCTTTTGAGAGGTCTTTTGGAAGATTTATTATTTTAATGGCTTAAAATGGGCATTTTTTAACACATACGTTACAGCCAATACATAAGGTTTCTGCTATATTGGCTATTTTATCTTTTGGGGTAACTTGAATACATAATTTTCCTTGTTTATTTATTGGGCAACCGTTTTTACATTCTTATCTACATTTTTTTGGTTTACATTTATCTTAATTTACTATAGCTATTCTTAATTTTGTTTCGTCTCCAAATGATTTTTTTTAATCCATTATTATAAATATTTAATTTTTTCCTTCTTTTTGAAATATATTTATATATTTATTTTATTTATTTTTTTAGTTTATAGGATTTATTTTAGTTTTAATCTTTATATTTTTTTGTCTTGCTTATATGCAATTTAATGATTTATTTTTATATTCAAATAAATTAATTAAAAGCTTTATATTATAATATTTATAATTTAAATGAATGAATACTCTTGAAATATGTGTAAATTATATATAAAAATTATTTCAAAATATATAATTATATTATTAATATAATTTATATAAAAAAAAAATTAAAATAATAGTATATATTATTTAAAATATAAAAAATATTTAAAATTTATTGAGTAATTATTTTTGATAAAAATAATTCATATATACAAATATAAATTTAAATAAAAAAATAAAATATTATTTTAATCATATTCTAAAAAAAATATAAACTTATATATATTTTTTTGTTTATTTTCAAAATATTATAATAGTTTAACCTTTTTTAATTATTCTTATTTTTGTTTACATAATTAACTTTTTTATGCGCTATTTTTTATTTAAAAAAAAATAAAAGCAAAAATTATAAAAAAAATTATAAAAATAAATAAGAAATAATTTATTTTTTTAATTATCAAATTAATTAAATTATTTAATTATTTTATAAAAAATGTCATAAATATTAAAAAAATACGATATATCAAATATTCTTATTTAAAAAAAAAAGAAGTTTATCAACAAGAAATTCGTAGAAAAAAAAAAGCGAGAAAATAAAACGTTTTAGAAAAAACAATGAACATAGAATTGATGATTTTGAATCTGAAAAAATTTTAATTAACTCCAAAGTTGAATATGAATAAAAACAATATTTTTAAAATTAAATGATTTAATTAGAATAATTATATAAAAATAAGTAGAATGAATAATTAATATAATTGATAAAAAAATGTTAATATATATTATATTAATAAAACTCATAATTAGATTTTAATAAATTATATATATTTATAAATTTGGATTGCATTTAAATGGCATTTAAAATTTTAAATGATTGTGATTAATTAGAATTAAAAATATAATTACTAGAATTCATAGGAGTACTTTTTAATGCAAAAAGTACTGTATTAGAATAAATAATTGATTAAAATATGATTTAAATATTAATAAGCAATTTATTAACAAATAATACAAAGTTAATTGATTATGTAAAAATTTAAATTATATATATATATATATATATTTATTTATTTATTTATTTAATTATTTATTTAATTATTTTTTTTTTTTTTTTTATAAAGTCATGCTTTGCAATTATTAATATTTTGGTAGAAAGCAAAAAGTTAAAGTTATTATTTTATGAGCAAAAGTTGGTCAAGGCTTTATTTGTTATTCATAAATTTTCTTATTTAATAGTAGATAATTGTAGAGTTTAATCTGCTAAAAATATAGAAGAATACGCTTATTTAATTAGAATATTTATATCTTAGCCAAATACAATAACTAAATAAATAAAATTAAAGCATGTATACATTTAAAAAAATTATTAAAATAAATTAATTATATTTTAAAAATTTAGTATAAATAAATATTAGAAATAATGTTTGACTTATTAAGCGATTTCTTGTATATGCAAAAAACTCAAGTAAATTTAATACAGAATTTATTAGCTTGCCTAAATATTATTATACAAATAGATGAAAAATTATTAGATTAATTTTTCATTTATCAAACTTATAAAAATATAAATCTTATTGATTAATTTACTTAATTGATTTTAAACAAACATATTGAAAATTCAAAAACATTAGAAATTATTATACTTATTTTAAGTAATATATTTGCAGGTCCAGATGATTATGTAGAAGGTCTTTTATAAAATGATATACTTTCTGTTTTTTACTTTGTTATTTAAAATGCATTTAATGATTAATAACAAAGCTAAATTTTATATTAAATTTGTTGGGCATTAAGCAATTTGTGTTCTTCAAATTCTTTATATATTTAGGTTTTTATGGATACACCTATGTTTAAATTTTTATTTGATAATTTTTTTTCTTTTGATAATTAAGCATAAAAAGAATTGATTTATTGCATTAATAATATATTGTTAATCGGGAAACAGAAATAATAATTACATATTTTACAAAGTTCATATTTATAGTACTATATTGATTTTTTAGATACATAAGACTATAATTTACTTTATGATATATTGTAAGGAATTGACAAGGCATTGTATTGTTTTGGAAAAATATTTACTGCTGATGGCGAAAACTTTGCTTTGCGCTTTTTTTAAAAATATGGATTTTTCGATAAAATATAATCACTTTAAGAAAAGTATTAGAATGAAAAAATATTTAAATTAATTACTAAAATCATTAGTTGTCATTTCAATTAAGATTGAAATTAAAAAATTAAAATTGTGTTAAAAATATGTTTATTTAAAAAAAAACGATATTTTTATTTCAAATTTTATAATAGAAAATTAGTTTTAAATTTTATTTTTCTTAATACTTTTTAATTTTATTTTATTTAATTTTAAATAATTAATAATAAAATAAAATCATATTATTGTATTAATCAATTTATAATAAAAATAAATTTAATTATTAATGCCTAATAAGAAATAAATATCATATGTATTATTCAACATTAATATAAATTATTTTTTATTTATTTACTTAAATTATATTTTTTTGATTGCGTTTTTAAAATAAAAATACATAAAAAATTAAAAAAAAAATCATTCTAAAAAATAATATTTAAAAAATTTTTTATAAAAAAATCTTTATCATTATTTTATACATTACCTATTTTTTTACGTTTTTATATTCGATCTTATATAAATTTATTTAACAAAAAAAAAAGAAAAAAAGAAAAAAAGAAAAAAATATAGCAATATAGAAAAAAGTTAAAAATATATATTTTTATCTTGTTTTAAATTTGTTTTTTTACTAAAAAATAAATAAATAATAGTTATAAAATATATTTATATATATTTATCTTTTTTTAGAAAAAAAAATCTAAATAATTATTAAAAATAATAATAAGAAGAAAAAAAATTAAGTAAAAAATGAGTAGTAATTTATTCACTTAACCAAACAACTTATAAGAATAATCTTAAGATAACTAAGACTTAAAGAAGCGTAAAGAAGATCATGCAATCGAAATTCGTAATACAAAAAGATAAGAAGTATTAAAAAAACACCGTTAACCTCAACAATAAACCAACTAGCAAGAATAACTAAAATAAAGCATTCCATAATATGGTTAAAACTTAGCAATAAACAGTGTAGATCCAACCCTCCGTGAAAGCTTAGACCATATATACTCTATGCAATTTAAAAATGAATAATTTTAATAATTAATAATATGCTTAAACAATTAAGACATTATTTAATAGCACTAAGGTTGCATAGGTTTACGAAAACTTCTTTCTGTAGAGGATTAACCACCAATCCAAATGGCAATTGATTCAAACTGTGTTCCTCGTTTTATTGAATTCATAAAGTAAAATTAATACCCAATTTTAACTTTAGAAGCTGCTTGGTGTTTAACAAATATAGCTTCAGGTACAACCCATCAAACCTAATCAATTATTGATAAAGGAGCTATTCCATTATTTTGCCGTCTTCTTAATTCTCTGTATACTGACATTAGCGAATAAGCAATATGGGCAATTGGAAATATTTCTGGTGATTGTAACACTTATAGAGACATGATATTGAAGTGTGATGGCTTAAATCCTTTAGTAAAAATTCTTATGAATACAACGGATAAAAAAACTATTAAGCATGGTTCTTGGGCTTTAAGTAATTTATGTAGAGGAAGACCTTTACCCCAATACGAATTAGTGAAAAATGCTATAGAACCAATTTGTAAAGTTTTACAATCTGAAACTGACACTGAAGTACTTACTGATTGTGCTTGGGCTATCAGTTATTTATCTGATGGAAATGAAGAGAGAATTTAAAGAGTCATCGATACTGGAGCTGTTTCTGGTTTGGTAAGACTTATTGGACATTAACTTTTATCGATATTAATTCCCTGTTTGAGAACTTTAGGAAATATTTGCACTGGAAATGATGAATAGACTGATATTGTTTTGAATCATGGGGCTTTGCCATAATTGTTCTAACTCATAAATCATGAAAAAAAAGCAGTAAGAAGAGAAGCTTGTTGGGTTTTGAGTAATATTGCGGCAGGAAATAGCGATTAAATTGCTTAAATTGTTAGAAATGTTAGCTATGTAGAATTACTATTTACTAAAATTCAAAATGAACCTGTTGAAATTTCTAGAGAAGCATCCTGGGTTATTTCTAACTGTACTTCTTAAGGATATCCTGAAGATATAAGAAGACTTGTTGAATTAGGAGTACTTAAAGTATTCATAAATTTACTTTAAACATCTTAAGATTCCAAATAACTAGCAGTTGTTCTTGAATCTCTTAATCATATATTGGCTCAAGGTGAAACCACTTTCAAAATTGGAAATGATAATCCTTTTTCTTTGTAATTAGAAGCATTAGGTGCACTTGATACTATTGAAGAACTTTAACAACATCCTGATAATGATGTTTATGTTAAATCTATTAGAATTTTAGAAAAATATTATGAATTAGAAAATTAAATTGAGTAAGAGTTTTGAATTTTAATTTTAATATATGTATTTGTTTTTTTAAATATAATATTTTTATTATAATATAATTTTTTAACGAGTTTATTGTTTTTTTAATATAAATATTTTATCATATATATTTAAATTAAGAACATATTATAATAACATAATTAAAATACAAACATACATTAATTATTTATTTATTTAAAATTTACTTTTAAATTAATTAAGAAGTTTAAATAATTTATATTATTAATAAAAAATAATTCTTAATATTTAAAAAAGCATTATAAATCGTATTCTGATTTTTATTCTGAAATAAATAAAATGTTAGAAGAAATTACAAATACTTTTTAATAAATAATTAAAGAAAAAATAAAGCTGCCAATAAATTATATAGAATGATGACGTAATTTAAAAATATAAAATTATAAATTTGCTTTACGGACATATTTGAATAAGTTAATTATTAAATTTTGAAAAAAAATTCTTACCATATGCATAAAAGATATGTATTTTTAAAAAAATAAAATAAAAACAAATCGTTCAAATTATTAGATTTAAATTTGGAATAATAAAAGGTAAATTTATAATAAAATTAAGCATTTAATGCTTATAACCTTATAAAAATTAACTACTAAACTTATATGTAATTTTTTTATTTTTTGTAGTTTTTTATATTAATTACTATTTATATTTTCAATATATATAATATTAAATTCATATTCTAAAATACTTTAATTTATTTTTTTAAAAATAATTAAATAATAAATATGTATTTTAATATAAGGTGGCAAAATTTAAATATTTTTGTAATAAATTTAGTATAACAATTATAAAATTTTTTACTATCTTTTATTTTATTTTAATTTTTTTTTTGTATATTTTAAAAGTTATAAAAAATTTATTTGAATAATTTCTTTTTAAAATCAAAAATTATAGCTTTATAATTAATGTATAATATTTTCATATATAGAAGCAAGTAAACTTCCATAAATTAAACATTTTCCAAGTCTAGGATAAAATCCAGTATATAATGATTATAATCCTTCGTTTTTAATTGTATTTTACATAATTTAAAAACTACTTAGATTGTTATTTTAGCTATTTATTTATTTAATAGTTTTAACAAAATCAAAAGGTTATGTAAGAACGCAAGCACTTGCTGCACCACAAAAACCAGAAGCTAAATTACTTAAAAAAAATGAGATTTTATTTTTTTAATGTAAATACTTTCTAAGGTTTTCATTAATTGGCCAATAAACAAGAAAAAAACCAACATTTCTTTATAAAGAAACAAATAAGGCTGCAAATATTTTATTTCCTAATTAAAATCCATATTTTTAACTAACTCCTTCGCTTGATTATTAAATTGTTTTCCAATATTCGAGAGGAAATACTATTGTTGTCGAAACTGATGAAGAAATTAAAGAACTTATTATTGGTTTTGCATATGTTTATTTTGTTATATATGTATCAACTAAAAATGTGGTTTTCTCATAAGTCAAAAACATAAATACATTGAAAATTATTCCTTATATTATAGAATACCTTAAACCATTAAAAAAGGTTAAAAAACCTTCTTTTTAATAAATATTTTTAGTAAATTTTAATAGGTGAAGATTTTATTAATTAGTTTTATCTATATATTACTTTTGCTTACGAATTTTTATTACATCAAATGGAGTTGTACATATATTAGTGATTGTAGCCGCTATTGCAGAACTTATACATATGTTTAAGGTTTTTCTTTTATCCTATTTATTTGATTACATTTTTATTTTAAATAATATTTTAATTATATATAAATTAAAAATAATTTTAAATAATATATATTTTAAAAAAATATAAAAAATAAAATTATTTTACATAATAAAAAATAGATATTTATAATAAAAAAATTAAATAAATTATTTATTCTTTAAATATTAAAAATTTATTAATTTCTTATTTATTTATAATCTTAGCATAAAATCATATTTTTTTTAAATCATCAATTTATTCAATTTAACTTGTACAAAGTTTTATTTATTTAAAAAAACAATTTTTTTTTTTACGTAAAATAAATGCTTGAAAAAAAATATTATGCAAAACAAATTTCCTTTTTTATATTTTCACAAATTATAAGTATATAAAAACTATTTTGTTTAACTAATTTAAATAAAAATCTATTAGAAATAATAAGTTATGGCTCGATAGAGGTTTGATAATGTGAAAAAAAAAATTATTGGGAAACGATAATATACTTTTTTATCAAAGATAAAATTAGATATTTTTGTAGATAATGGGTTGTTGTTAAAAGTGAATCACAAAAAGCTAGTTTTTTCGTTATAGTTGATATACTATTTTAATTTTTATATAGAAAAAAAAAAATGGAAGTTTAAAATAAAAAAAAAAAAAATCAGTGATGGGATTTTTACAAACAAATATTTTAATAGATATTTTATTGAATTCTTTATATATTTATTATTTTTTTTGAGATTATTAATATTTTTATTCATATTAAAATTTTAATTTAATTTTATATTTAAAAATAAAAAAAAATCAGGGTTGAATTTATAAACACAATTTCATATAAATATCTTATTGAAATTAAAATATCTTTATAAAATTCGTAATATATAGTATATAAAATATTAATATAATTTAATATATAAAAAATAAAAATATAGAATAAAAAAAATTTAATTATAGAATGGATTATTATTTAACACATATATTGATAGATATGAGTAGAAGCAATAAAAAAAAAATATTAATTATATAATTCTTAATATATAATAAAAAAAAAATTATATTATATATAAATATATAAATAATAAATTTTATTTTTAATAAAAAAAAGAATATTTTATTTATTAATTTACTTTTTTTATATAAAATTAAAATAAAATATAAATTATATATAATTTATTTTAAATAATTAAATTTTTAAAATATTTAATAAAAAATTATATATATATTTAATAATTTATAAAATATAAAAATTTTATAATTAAAATAAAAATTTATTTTTATGATTTATTTGTTATATATATATTTTATAATTATTTAAATATTTATAATAAAATAATATTTAATTTAATTAATTTTAATAATTAATTTTTCTAGTAAATTTAATTAATTTTTTATAAAAATAATATTAAATATATTTATATATATAATCTGTTTAAAATATTATTATAAATTTGAAGTTGTTTGTATATGTTTAAGAATTTGGGATTTAAGGTTTGGGGTTTGGGGTTGGGGTTGGGGTTAGGGGTTGGGGTTGGGGTTGGGGTTGGGGTTGGGGTTGGGGTTGGGGTTGGGGTTGGGGTTGGGGTTGGGGTTGGGGTTGGGGTGGGGT